CTCAGTGAACCGGCCCTTACTTACCAGCGGGCCGGGCCCGGTTCAATATATGCTAACCCGCCGACCCGGCGGGCCGGGCCGGGTTTCGACCCGGCCCGACAAATGGCCATGTCTAATTCCATAGCCTTTTATCTCTTTTTATTTATTTTTTTTTGTTGATTTTGCTTCCAATATTAATTTGGCATAATTTCCTAGACGAAGAGAAAACTCGTATAGAGTTGATTGCAAACATGTTCGACTCTATTTGTTTGATCGACAAGTTCGATTAGCTATTTAAGTTTGGCTTGTTTAAATATATAAGCGATTCGATATTGAGTTTTCTCAATTCAAACCGACATATGTGAACAGATAATTTGGTTCTAATCATGACCAAAATCGGTTACAGATCGAAACCACCGATACTGGGTCGAGAGTTGGAGGACCCTGAACCGGCACGAACATATGTACAGGCCGGTTCATTGACTGTTGGTTATTGGTCGTTTGGTTCATTAAAAAGTTAAAAATATTTCAAAAATAATATTTTTTTAAAAGCCGAACCTCGGGTTCCGGTTCCAGTTCGGAACTAAAACTGCATGTTCAAGATGTATAAATTATAAAGTATTGTACATCAACCGAACCGGTTAAAACCACGGGCGGTTCAAGACCCATGGTCAGCGGGCCGAACCAACAGACTGGATCGGCCCATGACCATGTCTACTAGGTTCCAATAATAACTACAATAATATGTAGCCCCGGGTTAAAAAAAATTTTGGCTACGCCCTTACCCGAGACGTCGCAAATCGCCAGGCAGTTTTTCAGCTTCCCCACCTTCGCCATGTCATCCACCATCCTCCGCCACTGAAGCTCTGCCATTGCCATCTCATCATCATCCACGTAGAGGGCGCAGATTATCTGGTGAGGAAGCAGGGCACCGACCGCGATTTTACCTTCGGATTTCCCAACCCTGTCGAGATACTCCCCGAACCTTTCCGGGTCGTGCTTGAAGAACAAGCGCTTGTACGTTTTCATTGCAACAAAAAAGCATTATTGAATTGTAACGGAAAAAAGCGGGAAACACAAATAAATTTTTTATATAATTATATATAAATATAAATATTTATACTTCAATCTATGATCAACGCCAAAAATGATAAAAAATTAATTTTTGGCTACATATATTGATATTTATTTAATTGTTGTATTGAGCATCACATCCTCATTTTAAGAATAGAGACCCATTTGATCTACTTCTTAAATTTTAGTGCGATTAATTGTATGCGAAAGAAATAAGAATGCATCAGTCATAAGATGCAATATTTCAACGAATAAAAATGGTCAAAATTATACACTAATAAAGAGTATTGAACGTTTTCCTACATCTCTCTCTCTCTCTCTCTCTCTCTCTCTCTCTCTCT